TAAAACCTCTCCATCCTAGATCAGGACTGAAACATACTTGTTCTTGACACCTTTCTCAGTTCTAAGAGACACACTCCTGCGAGGCTTTCAAATGACATCTCCTTATCATGAAGAGACTGTGTCCTCAGCCTCTTCCATTCGCTCAAACTACCCCCAAATCAGAATGTGTTAAACAGAAAGTGAGTTGTAGTATGAAACCCTTAGAAGGCTTTCTTTTTTTTTTTTTTAGAGAGAGAGAACCTCAAGCTGTCGCCCTGGGTAGAGTGCTATGGCATCACAGGTCACAGCAACCTCCAACTCTTGGGACCACAACGAAAGGCCTGTAGTCCCAGCTACTTGGGAGGCTGAGGCAAGAGAATCCCTTAAGCCCAAGAGTTGGAGACTGCTGTGAGTTGTGATGCCATGGCACTCTACCAAAGGCGACATAGTAGGACTGTCTTTAAAAAAAAAAAAAGAGAGAGAGAGAAAGAGAGAAATTATCATTTAATGAACCCCAGTGACTATTCAGTAACTATTGGAAGAGAAAGATTCAAAGCTTGGATTATTCTAAATTCTGGTGGTGGAATAATTTTCCCCAGTCTATTTCCACTCTTTCAGTAGTCATAAATGAACATGTTTTCCTTCATCTTTTTTTTTAATAATGTGACAGTTAATTATCAAACCTGTCAAGATTGTAGGTAAGTACTACCAGTGGTCTTAATCCCCGAGAAAAGACTGGTATGTGAAATACTGCTGATACCATGCAGTTAAGATGTGGTTAAGTGGGGCGGCACCTGTGGCTCAAAGGAGTAGGGCACCGTCCCCATATGCTAGAGGTGGTGGGTTGAAACTCAGCCCCGGCCAAAAAAAAAAAAAAAAAAAAGATGTGGTTAAGTGCAAAAGTGAGCACATGCATGCACATACACATATGTGTGTGAAGAAATTTGGTACAAAAGTCCAAAATTGGCTTGGCATCCGTAGGTCAGTGAGTAGGGCGCCAGCTACAGACACTGAGGCTGGTAAAGCTGGCAGGTTTGAGCCAGGCCTGGGCCTGCTAAACAACAATGACAACTACAACCAAAAAATAGCCAGGGGGCATTGTGTTGGGCACCTGTAGTCCCAGCTACTCAGGAGGCTGAGGCAAGAGAATCGCTTAAGCCCAAGAGTTTGAGGTTGTTGTGAGCTGTGATACAATAGCACTCAACCGAGGGCGATATAGTGACACTCTGCCTCCAAAAAAAAAAGTCCAAAATTGTCCTGAATCGCCTCCATCCCAAGCTGTAAAACCACAATTTTCTTTTTTTTTTGAGACAGACCCTCAAGCTGTCTCCTTGGTTAGAGTGCCGTGGCATCCCAGCTCACAGCAACCTCCAACTCCTGAGCTCAAGCAAGTCTCCTGCCTCAGCTTCCCAAGTAGCTGAGACCACAGGCGCCCGCCAAAACGCCTGGCTATTCTTTGGTTGCAGCCATCATTGTTGTTTAGTGGGCCCAGGCTGGATTCCAGCACGCCACCTTGGGTGTATGTGGCTGGTGCCTTAGCCACTTAAGTCACAGGTGCCGAGCCAAAACCCACAATTTTCCACTCACATTGGAGCATGTATAAAAACTAAGCATCAGTTCATGGGAGGGATTTACCCGTATCTCAGATAAGAATTACAAACAACTTTATTTCTGCCAAATGCTGAAGCACAATCTGCAAAGGCTACTACATACACTACTCTGAAACTAGCCATAAAAACTTCACCCCCAAACCTTAGCAACTGCCCTGAGAACAAACCAAAGGGCAGAATCCCAATCGGGGGAAAACAGGCCCAGCTGCTCTGAAAGGTCCTGGTGTGTGTCCACTAGGTGTAACAACCTACCCCTTCAGTTTCCAGAGTCCCAGTCTTTCAGACAGGAAGATCTAGGAGGCTACTAAGGATACACCAGAGCTTTTAGAACTTGGGGTACCTGTAGAAAGAGGGAGGGACTCTGGGGTCCCTCCTTACAGTGGGAACTTTAGAGTTTATTTTATTATTATTTTTTATTTTTAGAGACAGAGTCCCACTTTGTTGCCCTCAGTAGAGTGCTGTGGTGTCACACCTCCAACTCTTGGGCTCAAAAAATTATCTTGCCTCAGCCTCCCAAGTAGCCGGGAATACAGGTGCCCACCACAACCCCCAGCTATTTTTAGAGAGGAGGTCTTGTGCTTGCTCAAGCTCTCTCAAACCTGTGAGCTCAGGCAATCCACCCGCCTTGGCCTCTCTGAATGCATACAGATTACAATGTATGTCTGTTTTTTAAAAAAGAATCCATAAAATGGTAATGTTCTCAGTGCTTTACCTGAATTTTTTTTTAACCGTTACCATCAGAAATAGCACCTAAAATCTTTATTTAAAAGGCACAAGCTGGGTGGCACCTGTGGCTCAAGGAGTAGGGGTCTGGCCTCATATACCAGAGGTGGTGGGTTCAAACCCAGCCCCAGCCAAAAACTGCCCCCCCCCCCAAGAAGGCACAAGCTGCCAAACGCAATGGTTCACAGCCATAATCCTAGCACTCTGGGAGGCCGAAGCGAATAAATTGCCTGACCTCATGGGTTCAAGACTGAGTAAGAGTGAGACCCCTGTATCGAAAAATAGCTGGGCGTTATGGCAGGCACCTGTAGTCCTAGCTACTCAGGAGGCTGAGGCAAGAGAATCGCTTGAGCCCAAGAGTTTGAGGTTCCTATTAGCTATGACACCAGGGCCCTCTACCAAGGGTGACAAAGTGAGACTCTTTCTCAAAAAAAAAAAAAAAAAAAGTAAAATAAAATAAATAAATAAAAGGCACAAGCTATTATGTTTTAAGAAATATGCTGGCCAGGTGCGGTGGGAGGTCAAGGTGGGTGGATTAGCTGAGCTCACAAGTTCGAGACCAGCCTGAGCTAGAGTGAGACCCGGTCTCTAAAAAACAGCCAGCGGTTGTGGTGGATGCCTGTAGTCCCAGCTCCTTGGGAGACAAGAGAATTGCTTGAGCTCAAGAGTTTGAGGTTTCTGTGAGCCGTGACTCCAAGACACTCTACCAGGGGTAACCAAGTGAGACCCTGCCCTTCCCCCCCAAAAAAAGAAAGAAAGAAAAAGAAATATGCAGAAGAGTACCTGGGAAGGCAAGCTATACACACTTTATGAGTGCCTACTGTCTTTTCAAAGAATCCAATTAGATAAATAACTACACATTGGATAAATTTATAATAACAATGACAACTTGTTTCTTGAGTTGAACATATATTTAGTGCACAGCCAAACAAGGCTCTCTCTAAAGTCTAATTTTTTTAATGTTACATAAAAATGAAAGAAAATACAGAACAGAAGAGTCTGCTGTGTCATTTGCTATTTGAACAACAAAGCCTTCCCACTTCCCAAATTGATTGCCACTGGGGCGGGCTACTTGCTTAATTTCTTCCTGCTGTGGTGAAGCAGGAGAGAAGAGAAAACCAGTAAGTCACCTTCAAACGCTTCTAGTAGCCAAGAAGTTTTGCCCTTTAAAGGCAACTTTGTCACTAGGAATGGCCTGATTTGACCATTCCCGGAGAAACTAACCACTAGACACTCTTAACCAGAAGAAAGCAGGGTGGGCTGCTGCTTCTGTTTGTTTTTACAGGTTTATATGGGTTGGGCAAGTAGGTTTCAAGACGAATTTTGAGACAACTTGAGAATTCAATGTTTTAAAGCAAACCACACACCCCCATTCCTGACGAGACACACCAAGAATTTGGAATTCAAGCCTAACTTTCACAAAGTAGGTTTACCGCTTCTATACGTTTTTGCAGGTATCTATGTGCGCTGTACGTATAACTGGAAGCCGAAAGTCAGTAAATATTGATGGGCCGATGGGAATCGAGACGCTAGGCCGGCGACAGCTGCTAGTCTGGGCTTCGTAGCAATAAGGGTTGCACGTCAAAGGGGTGCAGAACCGGCAGGGGCACCCAGGAGGACGCACCAAGTTAGGGCTGGATCCGTTCACCCCCTGGCTCGTAGAAATAAGCCTCCCCTGGCCTCTAGGCAGCCGCACGCAGGTGCAGGCCGCCGCTGGCGAGCCCAGGAGTGACAGAGGACCCTGCCAGGCTCTTTCCCGAAGGGGGAGGGGAAGGGGAGCCGGAACAAGAGCCATTTAAACTCTGCGAAGCTCTGGGAGCCGCCGGAGGGTGGACAGGGTGACGCCAGGACCACACACCAACGCCTGATCTGGCGCCCAGGTCTGCACAGGTGACCCCGCAGACACGCGCCCCGAAGGCATAGGCGCAAACGGGCCGCCCCCGACAAAGCCCCCGCACCGCGGCCACCTCGGGGCTGTCAGAGCGCTGGCCCCAGGGGCGCCTTACCTTTGTGATGACCAGAGGCTCGCCGTGCTCGCGGCCGCCCTTCAGGGTGAAACCCCACGGGGCACCGCCACTCAGCTGCACCTCCACCAGGCGCCCGCCGTCGGCGGCCCGCGCCTCGGCCTCGGCCAGACGCTCGGGCCGCGCGCGGGGCTCGGCGCCCTCCATGGCGCGGGGCGCAGAGGTGGCGCGGCCGCTCAGCCTCCCGGGCCGGTACCCATGCACTGCGGGGAACCCGGGCTGTCCGAGGGCGAGGGAGGCACCGGGCGCACGCACCACCGCCGCGGGCCACTGGCGAACTTGCGCTGCAACTTGGGAGGAAAGTGCCGGCCGGG